AAATTCGTCGTATTTCGTGAAAACGCCGCGTCCAAACCCGGCTCATCGCCGTACTGTACACGGTAACGGTCCGGTTATCAACACGGGCGTTTCAGTCCACAATACAAAGCGTGCGCCCCCTGCGACAGGGGGGGCTCTCGTCTGCCGTGCGGTAGCTCATCAGAGCCCGTGTCGTGTCCCGTCGTGTCGCCGCACTGCAGCGATTGCATTACTGCTGGTGTTTCCAGAAATCGGGGCTGCTCGGGTTGCGGCGCTGGGCTCAGGCGAGCGTGCGATCAGCCGCCGCATGCCCACACCTCCTCTGCCGCCCCCTCCCCTTCCCAAACCCGGTAAGCCTGGAGAACGGGGCTCCCCGCCGGCCTCGGGCGTTACCTGCTCGGCCGTGGGGCCGGACTGCTTCCCTCCGCCGCTGTTGCTTTTACCACCGGCCGTGCCGCCGCTGCTGGCGCTGCTCGCCGCCATCTTGACTAGGGGAACGGCCGTGCTCCCAGGACCCCTCCTTACTACCCGGGGGCTGCCCCGCCAGCTGCCTGCTGGACACCAACGCGAGAAGCGCCGAGACGTAGCCTACCCGTGCGACAACCACGCAAATTCTTTTAATGATAATTTTTTTAAAAAAACTAACAAACAATTAGGTCTGAGGGAAATTCACCTTTAATGGAAAACAGGTAATTGTAATTCATCGAAAACAGCCATTGTCAACATGCCTAGGAAATTTCGTTTTAAGATATTTAGCTGCAGGGGGGAAAAATGTCATTTGTTGTCATTATCGTGTAAAGAAGCATTTTCGCTGTATTTGAAATGTGATCTTGTGTACTTCTGAACAGGTATTATAGCGATAATAGACGCATTAAGTCCGTTAATCGTGGAGATCCTCAGGTGGAAACGCATGACCTGTTTATATAAAGTTAGACTAACAGGGTATGCATACTGCTGTAGATCTGTAACGCCAGAATGAACAATATAGGCTCTTTCTTTTCATGTCAACCCGTGATCAATTTCTTCCTGAACACAGGTGTAAGCCTAAAACTCAGAGTGCATGTCCTGGACGGTTGTTTCTAACTTTGTTTAATAAAGTAAATCATCTGATACCCAAGGTAATCATTCTGGTTGCAGTTCGGAGAAACGAAATAAAAAAAACGCACACAAAACAGTTCAAAGTGCGCCTTCACCAGCGGCCACACTCTATTGGTCACAATACTGGGGCTGTTCTGTTAAATTACAACAGGAGGAGCGACGACCTTTTCTGCCTCGATTGAGGTTCCTGCTCTGGGCTCCGTCCATGCTGCGACGCGGGACGCTGTGGAGTCGAGCGAGCTACGCCTGGAGCACAGCCCTCCGATATACTAGTTTCACGTCTCGGAGAGCGCGCCCAGGCGACCAGGAGAGGTAAACACACCCCGTGGACCGGCGGGGTATTTAATGGCCGCCGTACTGTACGTGATACAGTGGTGAGAGAAGGGCTGGGTGGAGAGTGTGAATGCAGCCCAGGTCTCTGCTGTAAAGGGCACTCGTCTGGCTCTCTGTCCCAACGGGTTGACCTCAGTTTATACTCCAGACCGTCTTCAAACCCAGCCCCTTCAAACCCGGGCTCCTCAGAGCCTAAGAGAGGTTACAAACCGCCTGGCCCGTTTGGGCCTGCAGTGGTGGTCCTGATCCATACAGGTCACCCCCCCTCATCGCCGGCAAACTTGTTTAAGTGACTGATCAGTGCAGCGAGTCAGAATTGTGATGTTATTTATTGTGTCATCTCTACACTTCTACAGCTCTCCTCTGGACCCCCACTCAGAGCGCTTTGCAGCTCATGGGGATCCCCTCCCCCCCCCCCCCAGCAGTGTGCAGCCCCACCTGGGTGAGGCACAGTCCGCTCCCCCCACCCCAGCTCTCAGCGTGATGGAGCCAGTTCAGAGAGGGGTGCCTGAACTGATCCCGGTCCCCCCTCCTGGGACTGAGGCTGGTCCGTCCGGAAGTCCGTTGGGCTTAAGCTGCAGCTGAGGCTGACTCCTGTCCAGTCCCGGGGGGGGAAGACTAACACAGGCGCGCTCTCCCCCTCCCTCCTTCCCAGGATGAGCTCCCGCAAGCCGGTGGCCGCGCTGTGCCAGGTCACCTCCACGCCGGACAAGGAGGCCAACTTCTGCAGCTGCGAGGGGCTGGTGGAGCGGGCGCGCGAGGGCGGGGCCTGCATGGCCTTCCTGCCCGAGGGCTTCGACTTCATCGGCTCGGGCCGCGAGGAGACGCTGGAGCTGGCGGAGGCGCTGGAGGGCGAGACGGTCGGGCGCTACGCGGCCCTGGCCAGGTCCGTCCACCGGGGGGCGGCCTGGGGGCTCGTTACTCGCTCAGGCTCTGTTCCCTGCTCTTACTCACATGGAGGAGGAGGAGGAGGAGGAGGGTGGCATCTTTCCCAGTAGAACCAGGAAATAAACCGTAGAGTCCAGGAGAAGCACAAGAGCTGGGTGCCCCCCGTCGTCCAGGGCCTGTCTGACGTCCCTCCCAATTCTCCCTCTCAGGAAACTGGGGATCTGGCTGTCCCTGGGGGGGTTCCACGAGCGAGGGGAGGACTGGGAGAGGGATCGCCGGATCTACAACAGCCACGTGATCCTGGATGACCAGGGTATGCAGCCCCCCACCCCGTCCTGTCCTGTCCTGTCCTGTCCTGTCGTGCTGTTCCATCCACCCACCCATTCTCCCACCACTTCTTCCAGCTCACCGCTGTAGTGAAGCAGGAGCCTATCCCAGCAGGCAGCGGGCGAAAGGCGGGGTACACCCTGGACGGGATACCAGTCCATCACAGGGCAAAACACACGCATGCACGCACGCTCACACTCACACCTGGGTCGATTTCCCAGAAGCCAAGTAACCCACTGGCGTGTCTTTGGACTGTGGGAGGAAACCCATGCAATCACAGGAGAACATGCAGACTCCACACAGACAGCACCCCTGGTCCGGAATTTAATGTGGGGCCCTTAGCACAGCGAGGCATCATGTTGACCACTGCTGTTTTTACGTTGGTCATAATACCTGCTGTCTGTGGCTGAAAAAAGTCAGAAAATTCTACAATGATCAAATAATTCATCATTCATAATTCATTCAGGGCATGGTGACATGACCCCTGTCACTCCACGGCCACATTCATCTTCTCTTTCTCCCAGGTCGCATTGCAGCCGTCTACAGGAAGTGCCACCTGTTTGACGTGGAGCTGACAGGAAGGGGCGTGTCCCTGAAAGAGAGCTCCTTCACCATCCCGGGACCCTGCATCGTCCCCCCCGTCCAGACGCCCCTCGGCAAGGTTACGATTCTTCTCTTCTCTCTTTCACCGTTATCTCCAGCACCGGGGCAGCCGAAGACCACGGGCTGTTAATGGGCTGCCGGTGCAGAATGAGCACTGTGCGTTTCCCAGGTGGGGCTGCTGGTGCAGAATGATCACTGTGCGTCTCCCAGGTGGGGCTGCAGGTGCAGAATGGCCACTGTGCGTCTCCCAGGTG